AAAAAAAAAATGCCGAGGTGGTGCATTTCAAAGCTATTGTCTAAACTTCTACAAAAGCTTATTAGCTGACCTGTGAGCCGTTTTAGCAATGGCGGGGCTTCTTTGCTTCAAAAAAAAACCAACAAAAAAAAACCCCAAGCCACCAACAGCAAAAAACACATCCAGAAAGTTAGACTTGCTTTGTCAGGAAGAGGAGGAGGACAGACGTTCTGGTCCCTGTCGCCCCTTTACGCCACTGCTGTGTGATGGGGTGGCACCTTCAAACACCTAAAAGGGAGAGAGCAATTTTGCTGCTCTGAAAGAGGAAGCAACAAAATACAGTTTGTAGGCTTTAACTGGTGTATCAACATGCACTATGGTACGTTGCACTTTTAGCATGCAGAAACCTATCATATAAAGCTGTAAGGTTGATTTTGAGGTGAAAAATGTGCTTAAATTTCTTTCGGCCTTTGCAATATATATAAAAAGCAGAAAAAGGATTACATATTAGCATGGCTTTACATGTCTATTTTAGTATCACAGCATAATAATGTGCTACATTCTTATTTCTTTGAGCTGAATTCCTAGTGAATGTAGAATTTTTAAGCTGATTAAATATTGAAAAACAATAGCAGTGTTCTGTTAGCTTTGTGTCATGTGTTGGGTTTTTTTTTAAATGGTAAATGCGGACATATTTAGTTCCTCCTAACACATACAATATATAAGTATGTTCCGTTATTTGGCTCACAAATTCTGCTAAAGTTCCTGATCCTGCACTTTGATTGCACAAGAGACTGCGAGCAGTCATTATTTTGTTGCCACTGAATATATGTGTATGTGTAGGTATATGTGTGTGTGTGTGTGCACACGCATGCGCATGTGCATGTATGTGTATAAACTAGGGAATTAGAGATCGCTGTGATGGGAGAGTTACCAAGACCGACCAGAAGGAACAGCTTGTGGTGGTGGTGGGTGCTTGTTTTTACCACTGCTTTGTTTATGATGGGCTAAGCCGAATAATTGTGATTCATAGAAATCGACTGCCTTCTCAGGTTAATGTACTAATTTTTTAGGAGGACCGGAGTTCTAATTCACCCCACATATTCCCTTCCCAGTCTGAGCTACTGTGGTGGGTTGACCCTGGCTGGATGCCAGGTGCCCACCAAAGCCGCTCTATCACTCCCCTCCTCATCAGGACAGGGGAGAGAAAATATAACAAAAGGCTCATGGGTTGAGATAAGGAGAGGGAGAGATCACTCACCAATTACCATCACGGGCAAAACAGACTTGACTCGGGGAAATTAGTTTAATTTATTACCAATCAAATCAGAGTAGGATAATGAGAAATAAACCCAAATCTTAAAAACACCTTCCCTCCCACCCCTCCCTTCTTCCTGGGCTCAACTTTACTTCTGATTTTCTCTACCTCCTCCCCCCTGTGGCGCAGAGGGACGGGGAATGGGGTTGTGGTCAGTTCATCACACATTGCCTCTGCCGCTCCTTCCTCCTCAGGGGAAGGATTCCTCACACTCTTCCCCTGCTCCAGCATGGGGCCCCTCCCATGGGAGGCAGTTCTC